CTAAGCGTAGAGGCTAGAGGATGCAATAATGAGCGTTTATATATGCTTTCACATTTTTCAGACTTATACATTAATAATTATGAATTTGATTTATTTTGAACTTCCTTAAAAATACTATTCCTGAGGGGTTGTATAGTTTTAAAAATTCAAACAACGATGTATCCATCATCAAAGCGTAGAGAATGCGACCACGAGCGTTTGATATTTTTTTCACATTTTTTGCACTTGTAAAGTAATTATTATAATTTTTACAGTGTTTGGTATTTTAAAATTATTTGATATTTTTATTTTATAATGTATTTTTAATTTTTTTAATCACACTCTTTGCCTCTAGTATACTTTAAAAATAAATAAATAAATAAATAAATAAAACTTAAAATTTTTAATTTATATAGAATAATAATACAATAATACATATTTAATATACAAACAATATATACATATACACTATGGCTATTGTGTTTTATAGTAAGTTTATTTAGTAGTTTAAAAATTTAAAATCATCAAAATAACTTTCTTCTTAACGTGTCGAAACGAGTTACCCGGATGTCACCTTCATGTAAACATGTTTAGGACCCATTATTAACGGTGTCTTATCAGGTGACTTGATAACAACCCGATTAGTTTGTGTTGACCAAGAATCCGTTATTTTCGTGTCGTTTTAACATGTTGTGTAAGAAATTGCCAGGTTTATCAATAAGTAATCAAATGAAAAATGACATACTAAATTAGTATTTGCATACCATATTGTCAAAATATTACTTCAAATCATAAAAACTTAAAGACACATTTGTCTTTCAAGTATTACAAACCCCAAAATAAGAGCCTAGTGAAAAAATATTAGTACATTAGTACAAAATATCAAATTTCCAAGGATGCAAAATGAAGGGAGTTTTTTTTAAGGTTGTGAAATCTTTCTCAAAAGTCAGAACCTTGCTAAGGAGACTCAAGGCTTGCACATTGTTGTTCAATTTTCATGAATCATCTAGGAAAATGGTATTGGAACTTTGAACTGATTTATTGTTTTAAAGAGTTAGATTCATGATGTTTTCAGTAAGACTTTCCACATTAGCACTCTCTTCCATATAAACTAAGAATAGAAAAACTAAACATTATAAAGCATTCAAAAATGTGAGAAGTTTACATAAATAGTTATGAAAATATGTAAAACAATAGTACTATATTATATAAAAGATGTAATACCTCATTTTCCAAAAAGTCAATCTTATGGCTATTGTAGTTAGGTTTTAGTAGTTTAAAATTATCAAACTAACCTTTTTCTTAACGGGTTGAAATGGGTTACCCGTGGGTAGACCTTAAAGGGTTCTTAATGGGTAATTTGATAATGATCAAATTAGTTAATGTGTTGACTAGAACCCCCCATTTTTGTGTCGTTTCCTATCAGGTTAACGGGTCATGCAAGAAATTTCCAGGTCTAGATGTAGCCCAATCAGGCAACCCATAGCCTTCAACACAGTAGCATATTCAGCGTTGGCCCAAGCCTTGCTTTAGGCCCAATTCACGTGACCTAGTGCACTATAGCCGCTTAAGGCTTCACAAGCTATCCCACTGTAGTGACCCGTGTTTGCGCACTCGACCTGGAACCGTTTCAGTTGAACCAATCACAAAATTGGTCCAACTAAACTGACTGGCGGTCCTTAGACCAGACCACCCAACTTAGCCAGCAAACAAAAAATGAACCGGTAACTATTCCAACCTGTTTTTCGACAAATCTGACCTGCTCTAGCTCAAATTTTGTGCCCATTATACACCATACTTCAACTGCTCACAAAGATTCCAATCAACCTAGCTCCTTCACCCAGAATGGCAATCCAAACATATCCTAGCAGATCACAAATTTGATAATCGCCACCGCGCAGTAGGCCACTTTCTTAAGTCAGCTACTCGAGCATATTGAAATGCAACGCACTCTTGACCAAATGTCTCAAAATAGGACATGAGCTGATGACGATATCTTTTTCCAAAGGCGATTGGACAAACAACCACTCAACTAGCCTTGAACTAGGCGTCTAGGCAAAGTGCATTCCTCTATTGGCCCATGCGATAAAAACCTCCTATTTTACTTGCAAGAATCACAAGGTTATTGTAGTATAAACGGATTTCGCAAGGTCATTCTCCACAGGGATTATTAAATAATTCGAAACAAATCAGATTTCAATTAATGATTGTAAAGTAGAAATTTGGATGATTGATTTTATAACCTACTTAAAGTAAAAACGAATTTAATGAATTAAAATAGATAATCTGCAATATTAAAGCTAGAGAGAAGAAAACAGTTATGAGAAAATCAAATTAAGAAGGCACTAGGGTTCCACCATCACCTAGCAATCCTATGAATTTTTACCCATTACTTATGATCTACACATGCCACTTTGAAGGTTAGATTTTCCTAATTCATATTCTACTTGGAACTCCAATATAGAACGTATATCTAACATGCAACCCGTCCGGACGTTCGGATCAAATCTAAACATGAAAGACTCATTATGCTTTATGAAAATCCTTTGAAAAACCATGCAATCCTTAAGACGTGATATTCATCCTAAAAGAAATTACAATTATTAATCACAAGAAGCCAGCGTCAATTTCAGGGAACCTTCCGACCAAAATTGCATCAAATTACTTTTCTAAAGATCCTAATGGTGATCAGGCATTACGACAATTAGATAGTTTTTATCCCGGTGATTAACAATTCAAAGTCCGCATGCAATCAATCATAAGAAATTAAATAAAAATCACATATTCATGCTAAGGCTCAAGGCTTCGCCCTAGCAAAAGAAATTAGTTCCGCATATTCATAATTGAAATCATAGAAAATATTATTAAGAAAAGGATTGAAAACACCTTCAAGTAGAAAATCTTCAAAACCCTAGCCCTTCTCTCTGTCTCCAATATTGCATAAAATAAAGCGTAATCCAAAACTGTAGACGGCTAAGCAATATATTTGCTAAGCCACCACCCAAACCCTAGCCAACTAAAATTAATAAAAAACCCTAAATAAAAATAGTAAAATTCGTCTAAAATCTGAACAGCCACGTTTTGGCCCATAAGCTGCTCCAAAACTGGCCCAATATAGCTGGATTTGATGTTTGGAATATTCTGAACACTTTTCCAGAAGGCCACGAACCCATCCGAGGTCATCTTGGGCTCCAAAAACGTCATTTAAGCCCAAAAACGTCACGTCATTTTCCAGCACTGCGCACTGCTTCTTTATTTCATCGCCAGAAAAATAACCGCTTGGTGGAAAAATCCCAAATTTTGATACGATCAAGCTAAGTGACTCACGAACGTCCTCCAACTGGAATTACTCCAAAAATTCGTCAATTTGGTCCTGTTTTTGCTCCAGATGAAGTCGAAAGTCCTATATTGAAAATACAATTCAAAGTATCAAAATTCTTCCAATATATTAACCAAAAATATACTAAGATTAGGGTAAAATATATAATATAAAATCTACTCATCAAATACCCCCAAACTTAGCTTTTTGCTTGTCCTCAAGCAAAACAAGACTCAAACAAAAAAATAAAAACTTAACAAACTAGACAACTAGCTAAAATTAACTGACAAAAATTTTCATCTTCAAAGTTGCAATCCATAGCAAATTTTAAAAAAAACTAGAACATTTTTTTCAAAAGTTCCAACCAATCCCACCACAGAGTCTAAGCCATTTAGAATCAATTAGAAAAGAATTCACAAACTTCCTTTGATGTAAAGTGAACCAACATAATTAAGGGGACTCGACTAAAACCCTTACCTCTCATCCTTATTTATTTCACACATAGTAACTTTAAATATAACTCTCTTTCTTTTTTTTTTTTTTTTTTTTTCAATTTTTTTTTCTTTTTTTTTTTCATGTATATAACATTTTTTTTTTTTTCAGTAACAGTAGTGGTCGTGCAATGTCGGTTCACTTAAGCTTTCAATCCAACCCATGTAGCGAGCTTTAGGTCAATGACTCCCAAACCACTAGGGCTTTAGGGCACTAGGTGTAGAACACCCCTAAGGACTTATTAACCCGAGCTGAAAAGGCTACGAAACCAACTAACCACCCTGCCCCATGCCAAAACTCTACCGTTTGACGCGAGAATCACTGCTGATTAGGCAGGACTGGCCCGGTTACTAGGCAAAACCTCGGGTGAGACAATTATTACTTTATTCACAATAATAACTGACTTTACTTAAAACAAAAAATAAAAAATAAAAAAATAAACTTAGACTAAAAGCAAGTGTTTCAATCTCACTCCCCACAAACCATGTTGGTGTGATGTGCAAAGTTCAAAGTATAATTCATGAATTAGTGTCTAAGCAACGATAAATAGAAAAGACTCTAATGTGGGATTAATCTTTACCATGTCCATTTGTTCTAACGTTTAAAATAATCTATGGATCTTAACTTAACAAGAATGAAATTTTTTATTTTTTTTAAACTGCACAAAAAATTAAAGACCTAAAATGTTATTTTCCCACCCCCAAACTTATTTCACACTTTGTCCTCAAGGTGTGGAAAAAAAAATTAAAAAAATGACAAAAATAAAATAAACTTAAACTAACAAATAATAATTATAACAAGGAAAAGTAGTAACAAGAAAGGAAGGCATAAAACCTGGCGCCTTTGGAAAACATCACAGCATGCATGTGATAAAGAGTAGGCATGGGAATGCTGGCACACGGATGTGATGTGTGAGTGATAAATGAATGGCCAAATACAAGCCACGCCTAGCCGTGGAATTAGCGTGAGAATGGCATGCAGATGTGGTTTAAAAATATTTTGTCAGTCAGGGCACCCACATAAAAAACTGCACCAGTCCATTGGATTCCCTTCTAACGTCGAGTACCGAACCAAACGGCTCCTTTCATGCCTTTCTTTATTTTTTATTTTTTTCAAACCAATCCGTGTTGAGAAATAAAATAATAATGCCGCATCCCCAAGTCCCCATGTCTAGTACCCCGAAAACCTTCAACCTCTCTCTTTTTAATAGCAGAAAACAGTATCAGATCTCAAAAACTCAAAAGCCTTCTCTCCATTTTCCTCTGACCCCATTTTTCTCCGCTCTCTCTCTCTCTTCTTCATTGCTCCAGAAAATGCAAAAACCTTCTCCCTTCCATTTAGTTTCTTTTTCGCATTTCTCTCGGATCCCATGTATGGTGGAGCAACACAGGCATGTCTGATTCCTCTATAATAGTGCTCTGGTCCGCAACACCGAGACCCAAACGAACAGATCTAAAACAGTTCGTCCAAAAATCCTCCCTTTGCAGGTAAAAATGAAGCCATGCCATGTCTCCTTTTTGTTCGTTCAAATGTAAAGATGTAGCTTCATTTCTGCAAACTTCATCACCAAGAGTAAAATGAAAATGTTTTTGACTGATGCATTTGATTGTTCTATGTATGTCTCAGTTTCTCACAGATTGATGCATCCGTAGCCTTCCATAACCCAACAACGCGCACCTCCGTGAGTACCCCGCCGTGGTGGAAAATCGGAAAAACGGAAACCCAAAGGTAAAATCACCCTCCAATCTTGGGGTTTCATTGTCCAATTAATTTGTTGGAGAGATCTGGAACAAACACTAACACCTGCATGTGGTTTATCAGTGGGAAGATCCCTAATGGTTTCAAATCCGAGACAACCACACAAGAACACCCCGGAGTCAGCAGCTCAGCTCAACCAAGGATCTGCCAATGTTGAGGTAAAACCCGTAACCCTTTTGATGGATGAATGATGATCTGAGATTTGAATAATAAAACCACTACTGTGACTGAAAATTTTTCCCTCAACTCCAGCGTACAACCGAGAGACAACAACCGTGAGCTTCCGGTCTAGTGGTTCCTGAAGGCAGCATAAATGAAGAATGTCTCGGCTCTGCAAATAAATAAGGTAACGATCTTGTACTTCTGCTTCTGCTGGACTCAACATTTACATATTCAACTACATTTGATTGCTGATGCCATACGAACTGAACACATACAATCACTTGAATAACTTGGATCTCTGAACTGAGAAAATACAGGTATACCATATGAACAAGAACCGTTAGAGGACATAATGAAGAACCATCCCAGACTTTAATAATGACATACTATTCAACTCCAATGCAAGAGTAATAAATCTGGTGAAAAATAGTCTGGTTGCTAACTCATGAATCTGGTTAGTTCTGTTTTTGATCTGTATAGATGCTCGTTCGATGTCCTGCATTCCCTAATATTTGTGCTCTTTGTGTAGGGATATACGGATCAATGATAGAGCCAAGGAAATAGAAGGGTAGACAAATATCAGCTTCAATAAACAAACAGCACAAGCTTCCAAGAGCCCAGATCGGTAAATCTGGGAGGTAAAATTTCATATCCTTGCAAGTGGAATTGTTGTAGATCTGGTAATAATAGCTGTACTCAGTTCTGTGGTGTATGGATCTATGATATAATTGTGCTTCCTCCATGCATCGCAAAACTGAGCTGCAGAAAATTAATTGCTCTAAATTCTGTTTCTGTGCTGGATCTGCAACAATCTCCCCCAAACTTGAATCTGTGAATGACTTTTTATGTTGACTGCTTTAAATTTCCTGCCTAGTGTAGATGTGGTTGATGTGAACGTTAGACTTGCTGCTGGGTGCAGGATTCCAGCATAGGACACGCTTTATTTTCCACGTTCGCAACCTGCAATTAACCAATATGCGTAAAAAAATTAAAATAAAATCAAATAAACTGGGTAAATAAAATCAATATGCAATCTTCCATTTTTTTCCAAATTTTTTTATTTTTAAATTTTTTTTTTATTTTTAAATTTTTTATGTATGTTTTTTTTTTATTATTATTATTTTATATTAAAGAAAAAATTAAACGAAAATTAAAATTAGCAAAGAGTTTAGAAAAATTGGGTTGCCTCCCAAATAAGCGCTTTATTTTAAGTCTGTAGCTAGACGTTGCGGAAGTCCGGTGGCTAGATCACTGGTGCTTTCAGAGTCAAAGACTTGCCTACACCAAATTTCTCTATGCATGGTTTTAGTTGATGTTTGGTCACCTTCAATGAGAAATCTATGTCCTTAGCCTTAATGTCCACACTACCATTCTGAAAAACTTTAGTAACTAGAAAAGGGCCTCTCCATCGAGACTCTTGTTTCCCTGGAAATAACTTGAAATCTGAACTTAATAACCACACTTTTTTACCAGGTTGTATTTTCTTAAAATTCGAGCTGCTTGGAAAATTTTCATATTTTTTCATAGTGTTAATTGGCTGGTCTTCATGTATCACCCTTTGCTGCTGTGGTTTAGGACTTGAACAATCCCGAGTTAAATTCGGGGGCTTTATGGACAGATGGTCAGTTGATGATCTGTTCATAAACTTGGCACTTGGTAAACCATCCATTGCATCAACACACATGCATTCTTGCTTGTCACCTGAATGTATGCTTGCTTCAAACAACTTGAAAATAACAGTTTGATCTTCAACCCGGAATGTTAATGTTCCGGCTTCAACGTCAATAAGAGTCCGAGCTGTTGCCAGAAATGGGCGGCCCAAAATAATGGGCGTTGTCAAATCCTCATCCATGTCCAACACCATAAAATCAGCCGGTAAATATAAGTTGTCAACCTTCACAATAACATCTTCAATGACTCCTCTAGGGTAGGTAATTGAACGGTCAGCCAATTGAATAATACTGGAGGTTGGCATCAGCTCACCTTCACCTAAACGTTTGAAAACAGAATATGGCATTAAGTTTACACTAGCACCTAAATCAATTAAAGCACTACTAAAATCACAATTTCCAATGGTGCAAGAGATGGTAAAACTCCCTGGATCTTTTTTCTTTGGAGGCAATTTATGCAATAAGACCGCACTGCATTGTTCTGTAAGAATTACTTTCTCAAAATCAACAAGCTTCTTTTTCTTTGTACAAACGTCCTTAAAAAACTTGGCATAAGATGGAATGTTCTTGATTGCATCAATTAATGGAAGATTAATTTGAACCTTAGCCAGAGTTTTCATAAAATCTGTCAACTGTTGATCTTTAGCTTTAGGCTTCAACCTTTCTGGGTAGGGCATAGGAGGCTCATAAACACGTTCTGCAGTTTTTGTGGTAGCTTCTGCAGTATTTTCGGATCTGTCTTGAGACTGCCCAGAATCTACAGAAATTTCCGAATCTGCAAAATTTGCAGATTTAGGTTGAGGCAGTTCTGCTGCCTGCGAATTTTCAACAGAATTTTCATGTTTGCTGATGTAACTTTTGCCAGACCGTAAAGTGTGTACAGCATTGCATTCCTCTCGTCCTCTTGGATTAGGTACTGTTTGACTAGGAAATGAACCTGGTGCCCTTTCTGAAACCCGCAAAGCAATTTGCCCAATTTGTTTTTCCATATTTTTCATTGATGCATGCAGATTTTGGATTTCTTGACTGGTAGTATTTGCTAATTTTTCAATTGCAACTTCCCAAGCAGCCTTAGGTGCAGCATGTTGTTGTACCTGCTGTTGAAATTGAGGCCTAGTGTGTTGATCTTTGTCCCATTTTAAATTAGGATGATCTCTTCAACCTGGGTTGTAGAAATTTGAATACGGGTCATATCTGGGACGTTGAAAATTATTGAATGAATTAACTTGCTCCGCCATAAACTCTGGATAAGCATCTTTATGTGGACAGCTCAAAAAATCATGATTTGTCAAACTGCAAATGCTGCAGGCAGATTGTAAGGACTGCTGTACAGCAACTTGAGAACCTGGCATTCTTTGTAATAACATGTCAAATTTTGCGTCAAGCCTTTTCTCCATTTTTTCAATTTGTGCTGTAACATATGGAGAACCAGTAGACATCTCAAAAGCTGACCTAGATTGTGGCTGCTCCACTGCCCACTGCTGAGTATCTTCTGCCATTTTTTCAAATAACAAACAAGCCTCTTGTGCATTTTTGTCTTTGTAAGTACCTCCGCATGATGCGTTGACAAGAGTTTTTGTAGTCATATTCAACCCTCTGAAAAATATGTGCATTTGATCAGTAGTGTTAATACCCGAATGTGGACATTTTCTAATCAACTCCTTAAATCGCTCCCACGCCTCATGAAACTCTTCATTCGGTTTTTGGGCAAAAGATAAAATCTGAGTTCTCATGTCAAGGGTCTTAGAAGTCGGATAATACTTGTTTAAAAATTTTTCACTGAGTTGGGCCCAAGTTGTAATGCTTCCAGATGGGAGTGTGAGGAGCCATCTCCTTGCCTGATCCTTTAGAGTGTATGGAAATAACCGCAACTTAATAGATTCAGCCGAAAATCCCCTCACCAAAATGTTTTTGCACCCCATTAAAAATTCTGCAATGTGCATGTTAGGATCATCAGATGATAACCCATGAAACGTAGGTAGAATATTCAACATGTGCTGTTTTATTTCAAATGATGTCCCTTCCTCCACTGCCGGATATGTAATGCAACTGGGTATATTTGTTATATGGGCTGTCAGTGAATCACCCAGGGGCAGACCTGCCTCTGGAATTACAAACGCCATTTTTACTTTGTTGTGCAGGTCCCCAGTAGATACTGTTTCCAGAAATGTCCCCTGCAGTGGACGAACCCGCTGCAACTTTTGCTCTCTGCGCCTCCTTAAATTCTGCTCAAGTTCTGGATCAAGTGGAATCAATTTCTGCACTGTTGAACGGGTGCTGACCATGCACAGATTTCAGAAATCTGCACTGTTGTACTGTTATAATCTGTAAAAATAAAATAAAACGAAAATTAAATTTTTTTTTATTTTTTATATGTATAAACAGCAATAACTAATTGAAAATCTGATTCGTAGGAATTATTTTAAATAATCCCCGGCAACGGCGCCATTTTCTTGATAGGGATTTTTACTACTCATGTGAATGCGATAAAAACCTCCTATTTTACTTGCAAGAATCACAAGGTTATTGTAGTATAAACGGATTTCGCAAGGTCATTCTCCACAGGGATTATTAAATAATTCGAAACAAATCAGATTTCAATTAATGATTGTAAAGTAGAAATTTGGATGATTGATTTTATAACCTACTTAAAGTAAAAACGAATTTAATGAATTAAAATAGATAATCTGCAATATTAAAGCTAGAGAGAAGAAAACAGTTATGAGAAAATCAAATTAAGAAGGCACTAGGGTTCCACCATCACCTAGCAATCCTATGAATTTTTACCCATTACTTATGATCTACACATGCCACTTTGAAGGTTAGATTTTCCTAATTCATATTCTACTTGGAACCTCCAATATAGAACGTATATCTAACATGCAACCTGTCCGGACGTTCGGATCAAATCTAAACATGAAAGACTCATTATGCTTTATGAAAATCCTTTGAAAAACCATGCAATCCTTAAGACGTGATATTCATCCTAAAAGAAATTACAATTATTAATCACAAGAAGCCAGCGTCAATTTCAGGGAACCTTCCGACCAAAATTGCATCAAATTACTTTTCTAAAGATCCTAATGGTGATCAGGCATTACGACAATTAGATAGTTTTTATCCCGGTGATTAACAATTCAAAGTCCGCATGCAATCAATCATAAGAAATTAAATAAAAATCACATATTCATGCTAAGGCTCAAGGCTTCGCCCTAGCAAAAGAAATTAGTTCCGCATATTCATAATTGAAATCATAGAAAATATTATTAAGAAAAGGATTGAAAACACCTTCAAGTAGAAAATCTTCAAAACCCTAGCCCTTCTCTCTGTCTCCAATATTGCATAAAATAAAGCGTAATCCAAAACTGTAGACGGCTAAGCAATATATTTGCTAAGCCACCACCCAAACCCTAGCCAACTAAAATTAATAAAAAACCCTAAATAAAAATAGTAAAATTCGTCTAAAATCTGAACAACCACGTTTTGGCCAATAAGCTGCTCCAAAACTGGCCCAATATAGCTGGATTTGATGTTTGGAATATTCTGAACACTTTTCCAGAAGGCCACGAACCCATCCGAGGTCATCTTGGGCTCCAAAAACGTCATTTAAGCCCAAAAACGTCATTTTCCAACACTGCGCACTGCTTCTTTATTTCATCGCCAGAAAATAACCGCTTGGTGGAAAAATCCCAAATTTTGATACGATCAAGCTAAGTGACTCACGTCCTCCAACTGGAATTACTCCAAAATTCGTCCATTTGGTCCTGTTTTGCTCTAGATGAAGTCGAAAGTCCTATATTGAAAATACAATTCAAAGTATCAAAATTCTTCCAATATATTAACCAAAATATACTAAGATTAGGGTAAAATATATAATATAAAATCTACTCATCAGGCCACTTTCTTAAGTCAGCTACTCGAGCATATTGAAATGCAACGCACTCTTGACCAAATGTCTCAAAATAGGACATGAGCTGATGACGATATCTTTTTCCAAAGGCGATTGGACAAACAACCACTCAACTAGCCTTGAACTAGGCGTCTAGGCAAAGTGCATTCCTCTATTGGCCCATGCGGAAACATTTTCTCCCACTGTAGCGTGCTAAGAAGTGTTCATTCTCGGCTTCGCCCATAAACAAATATACATTCATGGTTGGGTCCACGCTTGGATAAACACTCAAGACCTGAGCCCAAGCTCATTGTCCACTTACGACATGGATCATACATAATTTTTTCCATCTTACACTAGAGTGGGCAATAAAGAGAATAAGAAAAGGCATGATAAATCTCAAAGTCAAGTTCAATTGGCACTCAACTCCAAGTGCACAAGTCGCTCGCTCACCAGCCAGATATAAACAACAAATTTCCTTAATCGCGAGACGAACGAGAAACTTGTCGGAAATAGTAGAACAAGCCTGTATACTACCTGAGGCATTACTGCCGCAGTTGAGGCAAATCCATAAAAAAGTAAAAATGTTCTTAACTAAGTGACTACACGATTTTTCCATTGAAATCGTCGACAAGTACTCTGAAGAGACGTGACTAATATAGGCCTGTCACCATTCAGTTTGGAGATTGAACATATCCATTAGATACGCAAGTTCACCGTGTTATACGTCAAATTCCAAGGAGACGAGGATCTGGAGAGGCATCTAAAATATTATCGCAGTGCTATGGGAAACCTCTTATTATTTCCTGAACTATAACCAGCCATAACCCAAAAAAAAAAAAAAAAAAAAAAATCAAAGTCTCAAGCAAATCGCCGAACAAGATCTCACAAGAAGATGAGTATTTCAGTTGTTTCGCAGTCCCATTTCAACAAGCTGCACTCACAACAGCAGATTCCAAGCTCTTTAGTGCGAGACATTAACCTAATTCTCTGACATTTATATGGGTATGCTCTATAGTCCAAGAGGATAAACTAATTTTTCACCACCCATTTGAGTATACTTTCCCTTTGGGAGAGGGTAAATTGCTTAGATATCCAGACCTGGATGGTTTCCCCGTTGTAACTAGATGCATGACAACCTTTGGCATCGTCTCCAGAAATAGTCACCATAGTCTCTTCATAGGATCCGGATACTAGACTTAGCTAACTGAAGGATTCGTGGTCCTAGTTGAATTCGCAGAAACCCGGCTTCTTTACCAGAAGAAGCATAAATGCAGTACATTTCCTGAATTACTGCCCACGAATTTCCACACAACTGCACATGTTTGCTATGACAAGTCAACGATTTTCATGTTCACACGAAACTCTAACATGTTGTGTTACGAGATATGTAACTCAAGGGATTCGTGGCTCCAAAAGTCCAATACATTCCTTGAATTGCTAACCATGAATTTCCACACAATTGTACATGTTTGCTGTGACAAGTTACCAATTTTTGTGTCCACATTGAACTTTATCATGCTATGCTACGGGCTACGCAGCTCAAGGGATTGGTTTTTCCTTACAACTGCACACTTTTGTTGTGACTAGTGAATGATTTTCATGTTCACACAGAGTCTTATCGTGTTGCGTATGGGAAACGCAACTCAAATGACTAGTTACCTTATATTACAGGTGCAGTCCAACTTCCTGAGAAAGACTTCGTCCTATCACACGCTTCAGCCTTGTAAAGTACAAGGTCTTATAAGCTCAAAGTCCACTATCCATCAAACCTCTCCTTATACACACAAATAGGTTCTCATTTCAAACGACTTTTGTTCGAGCAATGAAGTCAAGGACCAGCTTAGCAGCGCTAGCATCACATGGTTAGTGAGCAGCAGTGCACAGTGAACTCAGCAGTTTGACGCCCCAAAAATCCAAAACTTGTAGCCTAGATAAGCCTGCTAGGAGTGCCTGCTTTTATCAAAGCCATGCAAATAGTTCGCACTTCTATGGCTAAAGTTTTACAAGATGCTTCAAGGAAGCAAAGTTTCAAGAACATTCAAGTCAACTGAATAATGAAGATAGAGTAAAGCAAAGAAAGTAGTTTATTGAATTTCTAGCAAATTTATAAACTGGCACGAAGTCCACCAAAATTTGACACAAGCTAAGCAATGGAGTAACAAAGTCTAGACGAAAAAGAAAAGAAATTTTCTAAAGTCTTCAAAGCATACTACTCTTCAAAAGCTTGGATGACCTCTAGCTCCTCAGCAACCACCTTTGCTTCAACAACTTGCACTTCCACCACTTCATCTTCAACAGTTCCAATCTTCGTAGCTTCACCCTCAATTGCTCCATCTACAACAGTAGAGAAGTTAAACTCAAGCAAATCCTCTCAGTAGATAGAAAAAGTCTTCAAATATTCTTCAGAGAACTCATGATCATGTGACCTTCCTTGAAAACGATGCACAAAGCCTAACTTGTAGAAATCGGCTTGAATCTGAGCAAAAGCACTTTCATAAGTCGCATTCTTTCTCTTTAATTGCTCATTTTCTTGGCAAGGTCCTTATTGACGCTCTGTAACTCATTGCAATCCTTATCCAAGAACTCATTGGCGAGTAGCACGCCCTTTAGCTCTTCATCTTTAGGTGCAAACTCAAAAGCAATCTTTTAGAGATGGTTGATCTTTTTGACAAAAGAAATCATTTCTTGATTCTTGATGAAACAAGCATAATAAAGCTCTGAGTTGACCTTCTCCAAATCGTAGATTTTTAGCATGATCAGTTCTCTATCCCCAAGGTCTAAAATATCGATGATATCGGAAATATCGGTAGTCCAAAAACACGAAAATTTCGATGGAAATATCGGGATATTATCGATATCGATAAAAATTGAATAAAACCCATGGAAATTGTAAGAAAAACTTGGAAATTTTTATTGAAACTTTGCAGGATGTTTATTTAGTCAATTATCTATTAGTTTATCACAAAAAATTGGAAGGAAATGCATTGCATGATGGATTTAACTGATTTAAGTTGATTATATAGCGAGCTGGCAAACATTGTGAGTGTAGAAAATATGCAGTAATTAATGAAAGAAGTTTAAACACACCATAATCATTTATATATAATGAATTAGTACAATAGTTTACACTTTATACATTGCATGGTAAGATACATGAGTGACTTAGTACCACATAGAGTTCCTATCAAGGTCTAAAATATCGATGATATCGGAAATATCGGTAGTCCAAAAACACGAAAATTTCGATGGAAATATCGGGATCATATTGATATTTTAGACCTTGTCTATCCCTTTTGAAGATGGCATATTTTTCTACCAAAGTAACACCCAACAATCTGCATAATATACTTATGATTAAACTTAAGAACACATAGAAAGGTTTGGACAGTCTCT